TATTAAATAAACGTTTTGTTTATTTTTACCCAAGCAGGCATCTGGTTCACAAACTGTGGAATATATGTGCCAAAGTGAACTGATAATAGTGTGAATGTCTGGTAGTTCAGAACTTGGGAAGGACTGGGACTTGGGACTGTTGGAGTGACCCTACAAGGAGTAACTGGGCTGTTGGAAGTCAGGGTGAGACCTTGTCCTTGTGGGCAGGTTACTGGTGTCAGGCATCTGAGCCATAACAGCATACTATTAAGGCATCCCAGTGTTACAGGGCAGCCAGTGACAAAACCCCTTACTGGGCTTGGTGATCCCCAGATATCACTGTGACAGTCCATTACAGGAATTGCACCCTAATATCTGTGAACTGAAGTTCACACTGCAGACACTTGCTAAGCAGACCCTAACAGATTCAAGAGTAGTTTGGTGTGACGTTCCAACTAAAAATATTTTCTTGGTGTAGCACTGTACATGATCACATCCACTCTGATAAAGTCCGTGCTGTTGAATGTGCCAGTTCCACACTTCATCGCACAAGTGTAGAAGGAATAGATTATTTTTCAATGACTTATTTAGTATTTTGAATTCAGAATTATTCTTTGGACCTTAAAGTGATATTTAAGAAGCTGGTGTTGGATGATTTAAAATCAACAATTTCCTTATTTTCAAAAAATGTTTTGTTTTATCAGTATGTGTGTAGTTTAATATTAACTCTATTTAAATACAGACACGGCCCATACAGTTAGTGATAGTTCATGCATAAGTAGCTTCCATCAAATACCCCTTCAAGGATGATGTACATCCCAAGCTTCTGCATCCAACCATCTTCTTACTTTTCTCTCCTCGGATCATTTCTACTGCTGCCTCAGTAGCCATCATTGTCTTCTCTTCCTAGACCCTATACCAAGAAAAAAAGAAACTAGGAGATATGGGGAGAAGGCTGGGAGAGACTTCTGACATCTCCACGCCTGGCTTGAGTACACAGGAGCAGGAAAATCTGCTAAATGGATATATAATAAGGGATAATGGAACACCACCTAGAAAATCGGGTTGAGGTATTAGGGAAACAACTGAAATAATTGTACATGAATCCAAGGAGTCTGGGCAATAAAATGGAGGAACTGGAACTACTGTTACAGAAGGTCAAACCAGATACACAAGGATTACATAAAAATAGTGGAATAGCACCCATGACTGGAATAGTAGAATTGAAAGGTATTTTCTGTTTAGGAGAGATAAGAATAAAGGTAAAGGTGGTGGGGTAGCGCTGAACATCAACAAAGTGATAAACTGTAAAGAAATATGAATTGATAGTAAGGAAAAAACAGAATCTGTTTGGGTCAAAAATCTCTTTGGTGAAGGACTGTAAAAGAGGTTCTGTAGGGATAATTTTAAGGATCTGCCATAGACCCCTAGGGCCAGATTCAGGTATGGATAGTGATCTCTCTACTATTAGAGTGATAAATAATATTGAGTGTTGTCATAGTCAGGGGACTTTAACTTCCTGGATATAGATTATATATTATAATGCTGCTAATACTGGTAGAGCCCACTTATTCCTGGATATGAAAGATGACAGTTTTCTTCATCAAATCATCACTGAACCAACAAGAGGTGATGGCCATTTTAGTCTTGGTAAGTAGTGAGGACATCAGAGAAGAGCTGGTTGTAGGAAATAACCTTGGATCGAGTGATCATGAGTTGATTATATGCTTTCAGTGAAATAGCAGGATAATCAAAACCAGATAATCAACTATGAGTTTTGATTTCAAAAGGGCAGACTTTGGGAAATTAAGGGAATTGCTGCAGTTAATGAAGTCAGCTAGATTAAAGTGCTCAAGGATTTAAATCCCAAGCAAAAGGGAAAAAAACTTGTAGGGAAAAGCTCCAGACCCAGATAAATGAACAGCTACCTCAAAAAGCTTATTAGGAGTAAGTAAAGAAAGCTACCTCGTGGAGGTTAGAAAATGTAACAATGAAGTAAACTTGCTAAAAGTCAAGATGAATTAGCTCTTGCCAAGGAAATTAAAATAAATAATAAGAGATGTTTTACAGTGTTGTAGCCATGTTGGTCCCAGGTATTTAGAGAGATAAGGTGGGTGAAGTAACATCTTTTATTGGACCAACTTCTGTTGGTGAAAGAGACAAGTTTTTGAACTACATACATTGGGCCGCTATGCAGTGAGGATGGGAGGGAAATTAAAGATTATCTAGGTATGGCCCAAAAACTAAATTAATACTTTGCCTCAGTTTTAAGTAACAATTGTGATATGGAATGTGTGCATGAAGGCAGTAAGGCTGATGGAAATCAGTGTCTAGAAATGGAAATTACTACATATGAGGTGGAAGTAATACATACCATACAGGTAAAGGGGATGTAATACAACATAGATTTACCAAAGGTAGACCATGATTGGTGGGCTAACCTGATTCCCTCCTTTGAGAAAATAACAGATTTTTAAGATAAGGGAAGTACAGTAGATTTAATATACTTAAATCTACTGTAAACTTCAGTAAAGCATTTAACATGAAATCATTAGTTAAATTAGAGAAAATGTGGATCAGTACGAGCATTCTAGGGTAGATTAGGAATTGGCTAAATGGGGGAAGGCTATTGACTGTTCTGAAAGATGAATTATTGGACTAGAGGGAGGTTACTAGTGAAGTTCCTCAAAGATTGGTCCTGGGACCAAACTTGTTCAATATTTTTATTAATGACCTTGGCACAAAAATTAGGAAGTGTGCTAATGAAATTTGCTGCTGATACAAAGTTGGGAGGCAGCATCAATACACAGGAGGATTGGAATATTGTGCAGGAAAGATATGGAAGACTGAAGTGACAAAAATGGGATGAAATTCAATACTACAAAGTGCAAGGTCATGCACTTAGGGTCTAATAATAAGAATTTCTGCTACAAGCTGGGAGTTTGTAATGGAGGAAGAGAGAGACCTGGTTGTGTAGATCAATCACAGGAAGACCATGAGCCACCAATGTGACATGGCTGTGGGGGAAAAGGACAAAAGCGATCCTAAGATGTGTTCGGTGAGGCATTTCCAGTAGTGATAGTGATGTATTGATGCCATTGTATAAGGTAAGTTCTCATTTGGAACACTGTGTACAAACAATTGTAGTCACCCTTGTTCAAGAAAGATGAATTTAAACTAGAACAGCTGCAGAGAAAAGCTATTAAGCCCTCTATTCCCCTGATCATTCTATTTTATGAGAGGACACTGGAAGAGCTTGGATTGTTTAATCTAGCAAAAAGAAGGCTGAGGGGAAATATGGTTGTTCTCTGTAAACACATTCGGGAGGGGGGGTGTATGTACCAGGTAAAGTGAAGAGTTTTTTAAACTAAAGGACAGTGCTGGCACAAGAACAAATGGATATAAACTGGCCATGAACAAATTCAAGGAAATTAGAAGAAAGTTTGTAACCATCAGAAGGGTCAGGTTCTAGAACAGACTCCTTATAGAAGTTGTGGGGAGCTGTAAGAGGGAGCTGTACAAATTTGTGAACATAGTTGTATGACAGGGCTGTTTGTGATGGTAGGGGCCAGGGCTCAACAGTGCTGGGGCTCACTTCTAATTTATGTCTTATATTCCTGAAGCTCATGCTTCAGGGTTTCAGCTGCTCACCATCAGGAGTCAGGAAGGCATCTCCCTCCCACACCTATGCATTCTGGGAAGGGCTTTTTATATCTTTCTTCTGAAGCCTCAGGGATTTCCATGGCTGGAGACAGGACACTGGTCAGAGAGGGCTAGGGCTCTGAGATGCACCAAGCATTCTCTCTCAGGTGCTTGGCTGTCTGGTTCTTACTGACATGCCCAGGATCTAACTGATCACCATATGTGGGGTTAGGAAGGACTTTTCCCTCAGGTCAGATGGGCAGTGATTCTGGGGGGACCAGGGGTTGGCCTTTCTCTGCAGCATGTGGGGGTGGGTCACTTGCCAGGATTACGGGTATATTTTACTTAATTCCCTGCCATTGCGCTAACCTCGGGCACTGGTGCACCTCAGTTCCTCCTATTCTCTGCCTGTGGCTCATAATATTCTGATCTTCTGTGGGTCTCATTTACTTTGATTTCATCTTTAGTGTTCTGGTGTTGGTGGCCTGTGATATACAGGTGGTCAGAGTACATTATCTGGTGATCCCTTCTGGCTTTAAACTCTATGATTCTTAGACAATCTTTTTGAGGTCATTGAAGGCCAGTTATAATACAATAGAATGTGTTTTTAGAAGCACTTTTCATACAGAACAAGTTATTCCAAAATGCTCTGAAGTTTAACAATCCTGGAGAGAAAACAGGAATTACCTCTGGGGGAGAGGTTGTTTTCCAGCTGATTAGTTTCTGTTTGAAAATTATCTTTCTGCCTCTTTTCTCCATTTGAGTGTATGGCTGTTGTCCTTTTCCTGTATCCTTTTTCCACCTTACAATTTACATAATTCCTTCTGCTCTTAAGTAATGTCTTACCTAAACATTTGTAGTTATATCATGCTATTGTATCTTTCTCTCTAAAAGTTGTATTGCCATATCTCTGTCTACGTTTTTAAAGATTAAAATGAGCAATTATACTTTAGACTGTGCATAAGAGAGGTACTTCCCTGAATTGGTCAATATGCTTGTTTTTTTAGCTTAATCATATAACATTAATTTAGTTACAGTTTATTAACATGTAAGCGGGGAACTCTGCAAATAAAATTTGTATGTGTACTCAGTGTGCTTAATGCTATATTTGTAAAATGTGAGTATTTATGTTGAAGACAACTCCAAGGGCTGTTGGTCTTCACAAAAAATACACCATGCCTTTGCCATCACCCTTTTTAATATATCACTGAGAAGCTAGAGTTGGGATATTTTCTGACTGCGTGTATTGTGAGCAACATTCAAATTAAAAATGGACCTAACCAGGAAAACTTCCTCAAGAAAGGATCTATTAAATGTTAGTTATTTGGATAACAGATGCATTACTGTACATTAATCAGCTTATTTTGTCTGATTGATAGAAGTGAGCTGAGTCGACAGAAACTTCATACACAAGAGCTGATTTCTCAGCTGGAAGTGGCAAATGAAAAGAGAGCTGAGGTGAGAAAATGCCCCTCGTGGGAACTACTTTGATACAACTACATGCACATATTGTAGAATCTTACTGAACCTTATCCAGATGAGTTACGTAGCTAGTTTATAAGTGCCTCTGAAGATTTTAGAATCTCTCTTAACTTTGCTCCCGAATCATAAAATATGAGAAAGGAGAGATCCTCTTTCATTGTTACTAATATATAAATTGTGTGGTGACTCAGAAAATGTTATTTAAAGATTATTTAATCTTATTCATGCATGCCTTTTAAAGGTGGGCTTATTATATTCATTATGCAGTAGCACAGTAAAAAAAAGGTAGGGTTCTTACCATACTATGAGTGGTAGAGTTTACATAATATCTGTAGGTATGAATAAACTAATGTGCCTTCCATTATACATTAAAAGTAAAGGAAGGTTTGTTTGAAGAGTGTGCCTTATTAAATAATTAATGGACATCTTTGAACACAGTTATGCCTTCGTCACACTTCTAGTACATCTGGGATAGCACTCTCTAGAACAGTGGTGACCTGTGGCCCTTCAGGGTAATCTGCTGGTGGGCCGCGAGACAGTTTGCTTACATTGACCGTCCACAGTCATGGCCGCCTGCAGCTCCCAGTGGCCACAGTTCGCCGTTCCTGGTGAATGGGAGCTGTGGGAAGCAGTGGCCAGAACGTCCCTGCAGCACGCACCGCTGTAGCACTTCTGGTGAAGACGCTCCAAGCTGACAGGACAGAGCTCTTCCATCAGCTTAATAACTTCTGCCTCCATGAGAGGCAGTAGCTGTGTCCATGGGAGAGCTTGTCCTGCTGACATAGCACTATCTGCACCAGTGTTTAGGTTAGCATAATTTAGAGGGGTGGGGATTATTCATAGCCCTGAGTGACACAAGTTACACTGACATAAATTACACCAAAGTAGACATAGCCTTAGAGTATCTACTTACCTCAAAGTCTTCAGATCCCACCCTCAGTTCTGTGTAAGTACATTTAGCAGTGATCAGCACTTTCCCTCCTCTGCTGGTTAACCATATGATCTTCACTCATCCTGTCACAACTAGATTTCTGAGAGGGCTTCTCAGATCCTTTCCACCATTGGTAAGGTTCACACCTCAGTGGGACCTCAATTTTGTCCTGTCGTCATTCACTATACCTCCCTTTGAGCCTCTAGTCACATGCTCTGTGGCCCATCTGTCTATGAAGGTGGCCTTTCAAATAGCTATGACATCACCCAGAAGAGTCAATGAGCTGGGAGCGCTCATGGCGGACCTGCCATTTGCGATCTTCTATAAGGAAAAGATCTCATTACTCCCTCACCCCAGATTCATCCCTAAAGTAGTTTCTGAATTTCATGAGAATCAGGTAGTCTACGTACCAGTATTTTGTCCAAAACCAATGCTTCAGGGGAAGAGAGAAGGCTCTCTGGATATGCAAAGTGTTTTGGTCTTTTATCTACAGAGGACATTAGAAAGAAACCTAAACTATTTGTTTTCATAGCGCGCGCGCACACACACGCACACACACGCACGCACACACACACACACACACACACGCACACACACACACGCGCACACACACACACAGTTTGAGGGCTCGTTCCACCAGAGGGCAAATGATGTACCTATACTAGAGATATGGAGGGCAGCTACTTGGAGCTCTTCGCATACCTTCGTGAAGCATTATGTTCTGGTCCCAGTCATCCATGTATTCAACTGTGTGGACAGCAGTATTACAGTCTACTATCACTTCTGTGTCCTGGCATCCACCTCCTGTTTGACTACTACTTATTAATCTCCCACATGGAATACACATTGGGACCATTACTCAAAGAAGATAGGAAGGTTACTTACCTGTAACTGGAGATTCTTTGAGATGTGTGGTTCCAATCTGTATTTCACTACACTCCTTCCGTTCCCTCTGCTGTGAATTATTTGGACTGTGTGAAAATGGGAAACTGGAGAGGAATCTGCCTGCATCACCTTTCATTCCCTCAGTTGAGAGCACATGTGTGGGCCAACAGACGCTACTTATTTAAAAAAAAAAAAAAAAAGACTCAGGCACACGGTTCGCATGCATACCCACTTATGAAATACAGACTGGGACCACCCATCTCAAAATACCTCCAGTTAGAGGTAAGTAACCTCCATTTTATGCAGCCCCGCATCTCCCACATTTCTGATATGCATGAACTATACCCCTCGTGTCTGCAGTTTCTGAAGGCAGCTCAAAGCTGCATCACAACATGTGCTAGCCACACCCCCTTCTCCTCCTTGCTGCCAGATCTTCTGCCTCCAAGGCAGTAGTTTTCCTTGGTCCCATCTTTTTCTTTTAGATTTGTTATTTTAGCTGTTTTCTGAGAAGCTAAAATGTTTTTGTTTTCAAGCCTCCTGGCCTCCTCCTGGTAATTCCTGGGGCAACAAAGGACTGCAAATATAAGACAAGACCCTTTTTAGGACAAAAAAGACGGGTTAGTGGATTACAGATTGTTGTAATAAGACATTGAATTTATGGCTTATTACAAAAATCTGTAACCCATTAACCCCCCTTTTTGTACTATGACTCAAGAGATGTTAAGGGGCCACTCTTCCTTGAATGGTCCCTTAGAATATGTGCTAACTACTTATGCTAAACAATCTGTTCCATCTTGCATTTGTCTGTGACGCTCGGAATATCTTTCCCAGACCTGAAGAAGAGCTCTCTCTGGCTCGAAAATTTCTCTCTCTTACCAACAGAAGTCAGTCTAATGAAAAACATTACCTCATCCACCTTGTCTGTCCACGACAGGATGTCAGTCTTGACCTACAAGAAACGTAATAATATATTTTCCTTTGGGCATTATTATGATATGTGTTTTCCAGTTGATGCCTCCTTTGAGGGCATCATAAGATCCAAATGAGGATGTCTCACCTTCAGAAAGTGTTGCAAGACCCATAGACCATAAGAGCAATGAAACATTGCATAGCAATTTCAAAACTTCAGCTATAGCTATTCAGACCAAAGATTTTTCATCTATTTAATAGATAAGCCTACTTCATGATAAACAAGTGGTTCATCTTCTCGGGGGGTATGATCCTTGACTGGAGTGAAATGTCTTGGGTCCTGTCTTGGTCAAATCCTTGATGTGATTTGTGATGAGCAATGGCTTCTAACTCGGTCGCTACAAGGATGTCATGTTACTTCTGTGAATAGTCATCACTCATTCGAAATAGATATTTTGTGCATTTAGATTTACCAGTGATGATCTGTTAGGGGAACATTAGAGAAATTAGTAGCTGAGACTGCAGAGAGGTCTCTGTCCTCTCTATCAAAGCCAGCACTGCAGTCTGTTAGTTGCTACCAACACCAAGGTTATCCAAGAAGGGAGTGTTACTTTGGCAGGAGGAGAAAATCTGGAGCAGAAGCTTCCAAGGAAACCTACATGAATTTTCCTCCAAACAAACAAAGTCCTTAGCGTGACAAAGCCTTTTCCTTCTGATTCACCTCTGTACCTAGAGTCTTTAGTGGCTAATCATAATCACAGCAAGGCATAGCTCACAGGCCAGAGCATGCAGTGCCACAACCCAGACACGTCTGAGGAACAGTTGGGGGGGGATTAACATGGGGAAATAGTTTTACTTTGTGTAATGACCCATCCACTCCCAGTCTTTATTCAAGCGTAAGTTAATTATATCCAGTTTGCAAATTAATTCCAATTCAGCAGTCTCTCGTTGGAGTCTGTTTTTGAAGTTTTTTGTTGAAGAATTGCAACTTTTAGGTCTGTAATCGTTAATTGTAATTGTTCTTGTCAACTGCTGGATATGGCCCACCTTGATTATCACTACAAAAGGTTTTTCCCCCCCACTCTCCTGCTGGTAATAGCTCACCTTAACTGATCACTCTCGTTAGAGTGTGTATGGTAACACCCATTGTTTCATGTTCTCTGTGTATATAAATCTCCCCACTGTATTTTCCACTGAATGCATCCGATGAAGTGAGCTCTAACTCACGAAAGCTTATGCTCAAATAAATTTTAGTCTCTAAGGTGCCACAAGTACTCCTTTTCTTTTTGAGGATACAGACTAACACGGCTGCTACTCTGAAACCTGTCTTTATGGAAGGCACTGAATTTAGCCGTATGGAGTGGAAATCTATCAACTTAATGAAAAAACTCATACAGATACAGACAGACATCATCTTCCTTTCCAAATGCAAACAGATGGACATCATACCAAAAGGACTGAAGGTAAAAAATCCATTACAATCTACATACCACACAGACTATGCTGACAGCTTGTGCCACACACTCCCAAAGAAACTGCGGAACCACCTGACCAACCTCCTTTACAGCAAACAGCGAAAGATTAAGAATGAGCTCTCAAAACTGGATACTCTCATAAAAAACCAACCTTCCGTACAAACTTCCTCGTGGCTGGACTTTACAAAAACTAGACAAGCCATTTACAACACACACTTTGCTTCTCTACAAAAGAAAAAGGACACTAAACTATCTAAACTACTACATGCCACAAGGGGCCACAATAGTGGTTCCCTTAACCCACCCAGCAATATTGTTAATCTATCCAACTATACTCTTAGGACAGATTCTTCTGCTGGGCTATCTCGGGGCCTCTCCTTCTGTCCCTCCACCCCCACGAACATGATACAGGTCTGTGGTGACCTAGAATCCTATTTTCGACGTCTCCGGCTGAAGGAATATTTCCAACACCCCTCTGAACAATATACTAACCCACAGAGACCTTCCTACCAAGACTACAAAAAGAAGGATTCTGGGTGGACTCCTCCTGAAGGTCGAAACAACAGACTGGACTTCTACATAGAGTGCTTCCACCAATGTGCACAGGCTGAAATTGTGGAAAAGCAGCATCACTTGTCCCATAACCTCAGCCGTGCAGAACACAATGCCATCCACAGCCTCAGAAACAACTCTGACATCATAATCAAAAAGGCTGACAAAGGAGGTGCTGTCGTCATCATGAATAGGTCGGAATATGAACAAGAGGCTGCTAGGCA